GACAAGAAGCAGGAATATTGCATTCAAATCACCCCTGACAGATGGCCATCCAGCCTCTGGTTAAAAGCTTCCAAAGAAGGAGCCTCCACCACACTCCGGGGCAGAGAGTTCCACTGCTGAATGGCTCTCACAGTCAGGAAGTTCTTCCTCATGTTCAGATGGAATCTCCTCTCTTGTAGTTTGAAGCCATTGTTCCATGTCCTAGTCTCCAGGGAGAAAACAAGCTTGCTCCCTCCTCCCTGTGCTTCCTCTCACATATTTATACATGGCTATCATATCTCCTCTCAGCCTTCTCTTCTTCAGGCTAAACATGCCCAGCTCCTTAAGCCGCTCCTCATAGGGCTTGTTCTCCAGACCTTTGATCATTTTAGTCACCCTCGTCTGGACACATTCCAGCTTGTCAATATCTCTCTTGAATTGTGGTGCCCAGAATTGGACACAATATTCCAGGTGTGGTCTAACCAAAGCAGAATAGAGGGGTAGCATTACTTCCCTGGACCTAGACACTATTCTCCTATTGATGCAGGCCAAAATCCCATTGGCTTTTTTTGCCGCCACATCACATTGTTGGCTCATGTTTAACTTGTTGTCCACGAGGACTCCAAGATCTTTTTCACACATCCTCTCGAGCCAGGCATCCCCCATTCTGTATCTTTGCATTTCGTTTTTGCATTTCATTACAGAAATTGCACGTGTGAATAATTGCTATAATTGCGGAAACTTCAGGGGCTCCTTTCTCCCTCATTTTAAAGCTATTGGAGTGAAACTTGATACTGTGGTAGAATGCATTTAACACTGTTAGTAAAGGTAAAGGTTTTCCCCTGACATTAAGTCCAGTCGTGTCCAACTCTGGGGGGTGGTGCTCATCTCCATTTCTAAGCCAGAGCCGACATTGTGCGTAGACACCTCCAAGGTCATGTGGATGGCATGACTGCATTGAGCGCTGTTACCTTCCCGCCGGAGACCTTAGACATGCATGGTATAGGGTATAGTATTAAAGTAATGACAAAATTGGCTACCTTGGCAGCCACCTCTCCACCAAAGTCAACATTGACACCGAAATACAACACCGCCTGAGCTCTGCGAGTGCAGCATTTTTCGAATGAAGCAGAGAGTGTTTGAGGACTGGGACATCCGTAGGGATACCAAGGTGCTTGTTATAAAGCTATTGTCCTCCCAACCCTGCTATATGCCTGTGAGACGTGGACTGTCTACAGACGTCACATGCAACTCCTGGAATGATTCCATCAGCGCTGCCTCCGGAAAATCCTGCAAATCTCTTGGGAAGACAGGCAGACAAATGTCAGCGTGCTGGAAGAAGCAAAGACCACCAGCATTGAAGCGATGGTCCTCCGCCATCAACTCCACTGGACGCCACGTTGTCCAGATGCCCGACCACCGTCTCCCAAAGCAGTTGCTCTACTCCGAACTCAAGAACGGAAAACAAAATTTTGGTGGACAGGAAAAGAGATTTAAAGATGGGCTCAAAGCCAACCTTAAAAACTCTGGCATAGACACTGAGAACTGGGAAGCCCTGGCCCTTGTGCACTCCAGCTGGAGGTCAGCTGTGACCAGCAGTGCTGCAGAATTTGAAGAGGCACGAATGGAGGGTGAAAGAGAGAAATGTGCCAAGAGGAAGGCGCGTCAAGCCAACCCCGACCGAGACCGCCTCCCACCTGGAAACCAATGCCCTCACTGTGGGAGAAGATGCAGGTCAAGAATAGGGCTCCACAGCCACCTACGAACCCACCCCCAGGACACCGAACTTGGAGGACCATCATCCTCGGACTACGAGGGATCGCCTAAGTTTTCGAACTGCTAGCTTGACAGAATCTGGGCCTAACAGCTTATGCCGCTCCCCAGATTTGAACCTGTGACATTTCAGTCAACAAACTCAGCAGCTCAGCGCTTTAACCCACTGCACCACCGGGGGAGCCCTCCAAATTTCAGAATGTTTCACTAATCCACAGTGTTTTGGGGAATTTCAATTTTTTTTAATTCAACCAGAGAAGTTAGCTATAGCAGAGTACCTGATGAACCATCTTGTACATAGCATATTATTTGAGAACACAGAAACAACTCTAACAACCACCATGTCAGATGACACAGAGAAGCTATTGAAATCCACAAGGAGGAGGACTTTTTCAACAGAAAAGAGGAAACCATAACAATGAACAAAATTTTAAAAACTCTAAAATCAGAACAGCAAAGAAAGAACAACACTAAAAAACAGGAGAATTCCACAGAGTAAACAATCAGGACCAGCAAACAATTCCCAACAAAGGATTCCCCCAGGCAGGAAGCAGCCAGGCTTTGAAGCAAGGCTATTCAATGCTAATCAAGATGGACAATTGCGACATTCACACTTGATTCCAACAGTCAAGAGTTCTTTCTCCTACTCTGGACATTATTCCACAGGGATAAATACCCCACTTGCCCAATTTCCAACAGAACTCACGACTTCTGAGGATGCCTGCCACAGATGTGGGTGAAGCGTCAAGAGGTAATGCTTCTGGAACATGGCCATACACCTGAACGGATTCTCCCCTATCAAGGTTATTAAGATCTTCCGGAGGGGCCCTGCTCTCGGTCCCACCATCCTCGCAGGTGCATCTGGTGGGGACGAAGGACAGGGCCTTCTCGGTGGTGGCCCCTTGGCTCTGGAACTCTCTCCCACTGGAGATGAGAACTGCCCCTTCTCTCCTGACTTTTAGAAAATTGGTGAAAACTTGGCTCTGGAATTTGGCATTTGATGAGTGAGTCAAGAACTTCTGGCCACACGGACGGATGGTAATGAATTGGGATATCTTTTGGACGACTTGCCTTTATGTAATTATATGATTGCTTTTAATGTATTTTATGTATTAATGTGTTTTATGGTGTGATGTTTTAAACTACTGTTTTTGAATCATGTTGTAAACCGGCCTGAGTCCCTCTCTAGAGGTCGAGAAGACCGGTATATAAAAGTTCTAAATAAATAATAATAAATAATACACCCTGGAAAACTCACAGCAACCCGGTGATTCTGGCCATGAAAGCCTTTGACAACACATTAAACATAATAATACTAGCAAAAGCAACGACAACAATAACATTTTAGTGGGATGTTGTTGTCAGAATATGTTGAAGTATGTAATGTATTTTAAATGTAATTTCATGTAGTTATAATATGGATGCCACAAGACTGTAATGCTGTGATGTATGTTTATGTTTGAGGCTGTGAGATAGTAGCCTTGACATACTCTCTGAGCTGAGATGTGAGAAAAATTAGGGAATATCTGATGTCTGCCAAGCAGCCAAGCAGTTGCCGAATTGTTTACACTTCCACTTCCTTTGTCCTGCCTATTGTATACTTAATGTCTAGTCGCTTACTGAAATTGATGTATTTTGAAGTGCTCTAAATAAATAGAACCTGCTTTGTAACCAGAAGTCTCCAGAGTCCATGATTTCTAGCAAGCCTGTGCAAAACTTCCACGCTAAACGCCAACAGTTGTGTGGTTTCCGCGCTGTATGGCTATGTTCTAGTTCAATTTTTCCTAATGTTTCACCTTCAACTGTAGCTGGAGAAATATCATAATAAATATTTTACTTCATTCTTCCTATTATGGTTGATACAACCAAAAGCCGTACTTACACAGTGCGGTGGTGAGCCCCTCCGGCTGGTCATAATGCACAATGGCGACACACAACGTGTTGAGGGCCACCACGCAGAGGACCATCCAGTAGAAGCCCTGGGCTTTCACCATGCGCCGGATGAAGAACCGAAACATCTTCTCTTTCCTGCGGAAGTAGGAGGAGCTCTCATTTTTGCCGCTCTTCAAGCTGGCCCGGGCAAACGGAGACCCTAGAAGCGTTCGAAGAGCAAAAGGTAGAGTCACTGCATATAAACCCAAAGCATCCAATTATTTTTTATTATTATTATTAAACTTTATTTGTACCCCGCTAGCATCTCCCGAAGGACTCGATGCGGCTTACAAAGGCCAAGGCCTCAACACAACATAACAATACACTAAAGCAAATTAAAACAATTAAAGCAGTATTAAAACAAACAATAAAACAATACACCAGGACACAATAAAACTGGGCCGGGCCAGAGTAATGGGTACAGATTAAAAGTGTTGATGTGACAGGTGATATGTAAGGATTATAGGGCAAGTGCAGTGTGCGGTGTGCGGCAATCTTAGTTCTAATAAAGTGCTTCTGGGACTTGGTATTGGAGATTTCCGAATCTGGAAAGGCACATCGGAACAGCCAGGTCTTCAAGTTCTTTCTAAAGACTGCCAATGTAGGGGCCTGTCTAAGATCTTTGGGGAGAGTGTTCCAGAGACGGGGGGCCACCACGGAAAAGGCCCTGTCTCGTGTCCCCACCAAACGTGCTTGCGATGCAGGCGGGATCATGAGCAGGGCCTCTCCAGATGAGCGTAGTGAACGCGTGGGTTCGTAGATGGAGATGCGGTCACGCAGGTAGGCTGGTCCCAAACCATTCAGAGCTTTGTAGGTAAGCACCTGCACCTTAAATAGGGCTCAGAAGATAAACAGCAGCCAGTGGAGCTCCTTTAACAGGAGGGTTGACCTCTCTCTGTAGGGAACACCAGTTAACATCCTGGCCGTAGCCAAGATGGCTACTGCACGGTACATCCCTTTCCCAATTGAACTAATGATGTTCCTCCAACATCCGAGCCTACTGTTACCCAGGAGCAGGGCTTCGCCGCTTTCCTGTCATTTGCAAAACAAAGGCTGGTAAAACCTGATCTTTCCCCAGGCTGGGAATCCCTGCATCCTTTGAATCTGGCTGGTGCAGATGGCAGAGGATTTCATTTGAGTTCCAGAATGTACTGGAGTTTTCTAACCACACATGATTCCACCTCCCAAAAATATATCCGTGTAGGAGGGAGTGTAATGGCCTGATTTGCCTATCCTTCTGTCTCCTGGAGAGCTGAGAGAAACTGGTTTGGGTTTTAGTATGAATTGTGATGGAGCCAGCCAAAAAAACTAAATGAACTAGAGGATAGGGATCTTGGGAAGCTCCTTTGAGGTTGGACTAAAACCCGGAGCAGATGAGCACAGGAGGCCACATCCACTATGGCTTCATTGATTCGGGATGCTTCTACACTATAGTATTAGTGCAGTTTGATACCCCTGCTTTATTTATTTTATTTATTTATTTCCAGTATTTTTATTCCGCCCTTCTCACCCTGCAGGGGATTCAGGGCAGATTACAATGTATATATTCATGGCAAACATTCAATGCCATAGACCAGGGGTCTTCAAACTAAGGCCCGGGGGCCGGATATGTCCCTCCAAGGTCATTTACCTGGCCCTCACTCAGGGTCAACCTGTCTGAAACGACTAGAAAGCACACAACATCAACAACAACAACAACAACAACAACAATCCTATCTCATCAGCCAAAAGTAGGCCCACATTTCCCATTGAAATACTAATAAATTTATTTATTATTTATTTATTTATTATTTATTTACAGTATTTATATTCCACCCTTCTCAGCCCGCAGGGGACTCAGGGTGGATTACAATGTATATATTCATGGCAAACATTCAATGCCATAGACACATAACATATATAGACAGACACTCAGAGGCTATTTAACATTCCAGCTTCTGGCCACCAGGGGAGCTGTCACTTCCGTTTGTGACATTGATGAAGTACTTCCTCATTCTTTGCATACTTCCTGGATATTTTTATGGCCTCGTAAATCAGTTAAATTATATTTCTTAAAATTGTTATTCATTTTAATTATTGTATTGTTTTAAGTGTTTTTTGCACTACAAATAAGATATGTGCAGTCTGCCTAGGAATTCATGTTTTTTTTTCAAATTATAATCCCACCCTCCAACATTTTGAGGGACTGTGACCTGGCTCTCTGTTTAAAACGTTTGTGGACCCCTGCCATAGACACACAACATATATAGACAGACCCACAGAGGCTATTTAACATTCCAGCTTTTTTTATTTTTGATGAGAGTATTCTGGCCACCAGGGGAGCTCTCGCTTCACCATCCATTATGACACTGATGAAGTACTTCCTCATTCTTTGCATGCTTGCTGGAGATTTTTATGGCGTCATAAATTAAATAAGCCTTTCTGCATATGCGTTACCTAAATTTTCTACTTGACAGATGCAACTGTCTATCGGCGGCAAAGGTCGACAGCCAGCTATACAAAATTGGTCAGAAGCTCACTCCGACCCAGGCTGGCTTCGAACTCATGACCTTTCGGTTAGTAGTGATCTTAATGCAGCTGACTCCCAGCCAGCTGTGCCACAGTCCTGGTGCTAACAAGCTTTAATTGCCATGGCTGAATGCTATAAAAAAGGCATGGGCAAACTTTGCCCTCCAAGTGTTTTGGACTTCAACATCCAGAATTCCTAACAGCCTACTGGCCTCTTTCTTGTCTGGATTTGGCCTCAGCTTGTTAGCCTTCATCCAGTCCATCACAGCTGCCAGGCACCAGTCCAGGATCCGGGGAGCTTCTTTGGATTGAGGTGGAAAAGAGTAGTAGAGTTGTGTGTCATCTGCGTAGAGAGGGCACCCAACTCCAAAACTTCAGATGACCTAGCAGTTTCATGTAGATGTTGAAAAGCATGGAGGAAAGGATGAAATCTTGCTGGATCTCAATGGCCAGGAGTCCGAGCAAGAATCCCCCAGCATCACCACCTGGGTACAATCTTCCAGAAGGAGCAGGGGCACTGCTTTGACCCATTCTGGAGAGCCGACCCAGAAGGATACCATGATCAATGGAATCGAAAGCTGCTGAGAGATCCAAGAGAAGTCATCCATCAAGGTGACCAAAGCCATCTTCATTCCGTGAACAAATTAGTAAGAACATCAACCCTGGCCTTGTCTTACTCAACTGTCGAGTATGCCTGCCCTGTTTGACATAGGTCTGTCCACGCAAAACAGGTGAGCGTAGCATTGAATGAAACATGTGGAATAATCACAGGATGTCTTAAACCTACACCAGTTGATAAACTCTACAAGCTAGCTGGCATTGTCCCCGTCCCCCCTCCCGATGTGCGATGAGAAGTTGCTGCTAAAGGTGAGTGAAATAAGGTTGAACATTGTGAAAGCCACCCACTGCATGGCTACCAGCCTCCTCCCAGTAGACTCAAATCAAGGGAAAGCTTTATGAGAACTACCACTCCTCTTGGCATCCCCCCAGCAACAGCAAGGGTATCCCTCTGGGCAGCTAAACCAGGAAATCCCAACTGGATGGCCCCCCCATGAGGGTCTTCCTCCAGGGGCAAACCAAGAATGGGCAACTTGGAAGTCCCTGAACAGACTCAGAAGCGGAGTGGGCAGATCAAAAGACAACCTGGCAAAATGGCACGACCTAAAAGAATCCCACACCTTGTGTGACTGTGGAGCAGAACAGACAACTCCGCATCTGTATGCTTGTCCATTATGTCCTGCCTCATGTACAGAGGAAGAATTGTTGGAGGCTACAGACAATACCATTGCTGTTGCCCATTCTTGGACAAAAGATATTTAGCCACCTGCACTCCTTCTATCTTTATAGGTTTTATACTAATTTACGAGCCCCCAGTGGTGCAGTGGGTTAAACCCCTGTGCCGGTAGGACTGAAGACCGACAGGTTGCAGGTTCGAATCCGGGGAGAGGCGGATGAGCTCCCTCTATCAGCTCCAGCTCCTCATGGGACATGAGAGAAGCCTCCCACAAGGATGATAAAACATCAAATCATCCGGGCATCCCCTGGGCAACGTCCTTGCAGACGGCCAATTCTCTCACACCAGAAGCGACTTGCAGTTTCTCAGGTTGCTCCTGACATGACAAAAAAAATAAACAAAACTAATTTATGCAATGCTTGTGATACGAAATAAATAAAAATCCATGAACAGGACTAAAGCTAGGCTGTGAAGGATCAAGATAATTGGCTTCATCCAAGAAACCCTGGAGCTGAGAAGCCACAACTCGCTCTAGAACAGTGGTTCTCAACCTGGGGTCCCCAGATGTTTTTGGCCTTCAACTCCCAGAAATCCTAACAGCTGGTAAACTGGCTGGGATTTCTGGGAGTTGTAGGCCAAAACACCTGGGGACCCACAGGTTGAGAACCACTGCTCTAGAACCTTGCCCAGGAAAGGGAGGTTAGAAATGGGCCGGTTAGAAGCCTATATTACAGAGGAACCACCTCTGTTTCACTCTTGCCTAAGAAAACCCTATGAAATGCATGGGGTCACAGGTTGGAAAGCACACAAAGCAGTGCGCAGCCGGCATAAGGTTGTCTGGTTGCACCAAGTCAGTAAACAATTTGTCTGACAAACAACGTTTGACTTACCAACGGAGCAAACATCCGCGAAATGGTCCTCCCCTTCTTCAGCATGGATGAGATCATTTTTGCTCTTCTTGATCGTGGCTCTTTTTAGGACTGGGTTCAAAAGCAAGAAGCAGGAGGAGGAGAAAAGGAAAGAGTACCAAATGTAGACATCAGTATGCAATAGTCCATAAGCCCTCCACTCAAGCCAAATGGCCTCTCCATCCAAGGTTGGGCCTGAAACAATTTCACAAGGCTAACCATTCTAACTCCATCAGTCAGCACCAGCTTCCCTGATAGGTTTTCATGGCAAACATCATCTGTCACTTAGCTATGCTCAAGTTATAACATATCGGGACAAATAACACTATGTAACAAAATTTGAAAAATGTTCTGTTCCTGGTTTGAAAGTGTTATTTCCTGTTTAATTGTGTGCTCCTTACTTTGAAAGTAGTTGTTCTACTCCAGAAACTTTGTTTTTGTGGCTGCCACAAACTAAGTTGAATTTTTGCTGTTTGGGCCGGGCTTTAGCACAGCAGGTTAACCACCAGCTGCAATAAATCTTACCAATTGAAAGGTTGGTAATTCAAAGCCCGGATTGGATCCCCAACTGACTGCCCACTTAGCAGATCAAAAACAGCTGTGAGTAGATAAATAGGTACTGCTTAAGCGGGGAGGTAGTTTAACAACACCATAAAGGAAATACCATAAAAAATGCCAGTGATCCATAAAAAGGAGGTAGTCTGCGTATAGAGCTCTTCAACATGGAGGATGAAGACAATGGATGCTACAGACAATGCCGTTGCTGTTGCCTCTCTTTGGGGGGGGGGAGAAGGGAGGGGTATAAATATAGGAAATAAATAAATAAATAAATAAAATGACAACACCACTCAGTGACCAGAATTGAGTATAGCCTCCAGGACGCCGAAGATGCTCTATCTGTTGTCTGTCCTGTCTATGCATAACAGCATTGAATGTTGAATACTATGCTAATTATATAATATATTGTATATASATATAATATTTGTAATGTTATAATGTAATACAATATAATATTACTACTAATAATAATATATTATAATTATATATTTTATATTACATGTAATATTACTAATATTATTAGAATATAATGGTATAGTACAATATAGTAATATATAATACTGGTATTATATATTACTAATAATATATAATATATATAATAATATAATATATTGAGAATGTGTGTATGTATGTGTGTGTGTGTGTGTGTGTGTGTGTGTATATATGTATGTATGTATATATATATATATATATATATATATATATATCTTGTAAGCTGCTCTGAGTCCCCTTTGGGGTGATAAGAGCGGCATATAGATGTTGTAAATAAATAGATAAATAAATAAATAATGTTTGCTGTTTATTTATTTATTTGTTTGTTTGTTTACAGCTTTTATATTCCGCCCTTCTCACCCCAAAGGGGACTCAGGGCGGATTACAGTGTACACATATATGGCAAACATTCAATGCCAATTTTGACATACAACATATACAGACATAGACAGAGGCTATTTAACTTGTTTTCTGGCCGCCAGGGGAGCTGTCGCTTTCATTGTTCAGCTGCAACACTGATGAAGTACTTCCACATTCCCCGCATGCTTTTTGCTGGAGTGCTTGCTGGAGTCTTTTTTATGGCCTCATAAATTAGTTAATTTAGCCTCCCCACACTTTAAGGTGGTACCTAATTTTCCTACTTGACAGATGCAACTGTCTTTCGGGTTGCAAAGGTCGACAACAGGCTACACAATTGGTTGGAAACCCACTCCAACCCGGGCTGGCTTTGAACTCATGACCTTTTGGTCAGAGTGATCTTAATGCAACTGACACTCAGCCAGCTGTGCCACAATCCCGGTATATGTGTTCTGTGATTCGCCCTAAGTCCCCTTTGGGGTGAGAAGGGCAGACTATAAATGCTGTAAATAAAATAACTAAGTAATAATAAACATTTTCCATGTTTTTATGATAGAACCAATTAGGAAATGATACTTAGAACCCAGGAACAAAAATTGTGCAACATAGTGTAATAGGAGATGAAGTCCAAAACTTTGAAGGAAGTTAGCAGTTCCTCATCTCTGCTCTTTGCGGAAACCGAGAGGAATAACCCCAATTTTCAGGACCAATTGGTTGTGGAGCCAGGAAAGAAAGGACTCTGCAGATCCTAATTACACATTTCTATGCATGTATTAAGAAAATTATCATGGGGAAAAAGCAGGTCCTTCACTTGCTTTCAGTTTAAGGCCAAAGAAAGCAAGGAATGCAACAACGCAACATCCGATGCCAGCACTAAGACACTACAAGGTGTGGTGATCACACGTTACGGACTCAGAAGAAAGCGCTCAGAAGGAAAATGTGAACGGTCAAAGCCTTGTGCGGAGTTCTCCAAAACAGCACTCACATCGGCACACAAAGCAGAGTCAAACCACGGAAGTCCTCATGACTGCCTGTTTTGATGGATGCTCAATGGCCTAAGACAAGTTGGGAATGGGCTGAGACTCTCATTGGCTACCAGTTGTCATAGACAACTATTACTACAGCATAGGAAATATGGGCTACCTCTCCAATGTAGTGGTTGAGGTTAACTGCCAGCGAGTCAACTTTGATGACACCACCACCACCAATCCATGAAAGAGAGACTTCCAAGTCATCCTATCATCCACAGCCCCGCTCTTGTCTTGGTCTCAAGGTTTGTGGCTTCCAGATTGGTCCTGCTCATCCTTGCTTGAAGCCTACTTCTTTCAGCATTTTGTCTAGTTTCTCATCCCAGGCTCCAACCATATAAACCAGTGGTTCTCAACATCCCCAGATGTTTTTGGCCTTCAACTCCGAGAAATCCTAATAGCTGGTAAACTGGCTGGGATTTCTGGGAGTTGTGGGCCAAAAAACATCTGGGGACCCCAGGTTGAGAACCACTGATATAAACCCTTATTTTGCTTGCAAAGAAGAAGTGGCTGTTTCTGGTCGACGGCAGTCAAGAAATCAGAAGACCAGGACTTGGAAGCTCAGTCATGAAGGAACTAGACAAGACCCTGAAGTGTAAAGATGTGTAATTGGGTATTCAAATTAGGATGGCCCTGTTTCCCATTTCTATGTATGGTTGTTGAAGCTGAACACTGAAGAAATCTGATAGGAAGAACATCAACTCATTGGAGATACAGAGTTCTATGGATAATAGGACTGGGTTGTTGTAGGTTTTTTCGGGCTGTATGGCCATGGTCTACAGGCATTCTCTCCTGATGTTTCGCCTGCATCTATGGCAAGCATCCTAAGAGGTAGTGAGGTCTATTTAAATAAATTGGTGCTAGAAAAACCCAAATCTAATAATAGTAATAGTAATAATAATAATAATAATAATAATAATAATAATAATAATATATTTATATTTTGCTCTATCTCCCCAAAGTGACTCAAATATAAGCTGTCTGTGGAGAGGTACATAATTTTCCATCCCTGGTTTATTCATTGCCCGACTTACCGGGCAAGGCCTGTTGTGGTGGGGGGGCGCCCTCCCACTGGCCATGTTGGAAGCAGGGGGCTTCTCCTTCCTAGAAGCCCCCTGCATGGCGGGAAGTTTCCCGCCGCATGGTCAGCGGGCCAATCAGCGGCCGGCCCCACCCAGCACCTTGTATTGGCCAGGGGGCGGCCTCTCCCTTTGCCCAGCAGCTTCGGGTTGTCCTCCCACCCACACACCCTGCACATTTATGTTTTTATTCAGTGTTGCAGTTGTTGGTCATTATCTGCTCATCACAACTTCGGTTGACATGTGGCATGGGCCCTGGATCTGGTTTCCGCTCCTCCCCTACTGGCCGGGGAGGGAATCATCCGGCGGTTCACAGGGGGTGCCATGTTTTATTGCCCGGTATTGTGCCGGTGGGCCCCCAGCTGGACTCATCAGGTATTGGTCAGCATTGGCTGATCGATCTTGATCTAGAACCCATGCCTGGCAGCCAACCCTTTGTTCCTGTAATCAATAAATTAAGTTGTGGCCAATTTTTACTCCATCTATATGTCCATGTCATCTCTGGTCCTTTGGGTGGGAGGAGTATCGCCCATCCACACGCAACAGTTTCTTTTGGATATGGTCTTTATTAGAAGCACCAGTCTAGTCTACAGAAGCTGTCCAGGGTGCTGAAGTGTCTTTCTATCTCTCTTGCTTCTCACTTGCTTGGTGTCTGCTTGCGGTTAGTGTTATGCCAACTTCCTCCAGACTCTTATGGGTCATGTTTTGTCAGGATTGGGGACAACCTGTCCTTTGGCTCTTGCTCATTTCTGTCTCTCCTCGGAGACAACGGTCACATCAATACACACACAACCTCTTCCTGAATGTCCAACCAGCCACGGTGATGGCCCTATGGAGCTTTGGGGGTGAAAGCTACATGCCATGCCCTCTCCAACCCTGACAAGTTGCCGTCCACTCACTGTTACAGCTGCCGCCGCTGCTAATCTCCACCGTTGCCGTGCCTCGCAGAATTGGGCCTTCAGAAGTGGCCCTCCCTGACCGTGATCAGGAGGAAAACAACAAAAACAACAGAGGAAAGAGAGAGAGAGGGCAGAAGGAGGAGGAGACACGAGAGGGTGAAAGACGGAAGAGGAAAGAGTCTTTTAACCGCACTTTCACCAACTGTAAGATTGTATGAGCTTGACGTCAACAGGAACAGTGGAACGGTACCCTCTCTCTCTTTGGTGGACCAGAACTTAGAAGGAGGAACATGCAACTCTCCGCTGCCCTAAGGAATTGACCTTCTAGGAAATGGTGAAAATTGGATTTGCCTGTCTGGGATGGACTGGGATCACCACACCCTGTTATGTCTTTTTGCTTACGAGAAAAAAAAGGGGGGTATTTGACAAATTTGCTTGGAAACTCTGCTCTTTTGGTAGGCCTCCTACCAAAAAACAGTTCTGCCATCCCTCTCTGCTCTTCAGCAAAAGCTTGCATCAATAGTGAGTATATTCCTACTCCCAACCCAACAAAACATTGCTACAAAACGTGGTAGCTTGACCTCCCAAATTTGCAAGCATGCCTATCTATTGTGCTCTAGGAAAATCCCAACTAACTATGGCCCTGCAACATATGTCAACAGTGGCTTTTACAAGTCTCCACTAGGCTTGTGCATAATTTCATTTTTAATTCATATTTCGGATCAAATTCATTAAATTCGTAGATGCGAAGCAATATTAGAAACATGCAGGAAAGGTGGGAGGGGGGATTTAGGAATTGAAACACTCACCAAGCAACTTTGGCAAAGCCAAGAGAACAGAAAGTGCTTTAAGGAAATAATTCCCAGCAAAATGCCCTCAGAAGTACTTTAACTACTCGTTGGGTTGCTCTCCCTTCATTTCTTTTAAAACCAGATACATCCTACCTCTGTTCGTGCCCAGCGTTTATTTTTTTAAAAAACGTAAACTATTACATTTGGCCCGGCCATGGGTTTTTTAAATCCTTGCATGTTATTGTTTATATGTGAGTTATATTAATTGTATTGTTTTTTATTATTGCTTTTTGTTTTATTGATGCACCGCAGCGCACCCAAATACCTGGGAGTCACTCTGGACCGCGCTCTTACCTACAAGAAGCACTGCCTGAACATCAAGTAAAAAATGGGTGCCAGAAACAATATCATACGAAAGCTGACTGGCACAACCTGGGGATCACAACCAGATACAGTGAAGACATCTGCCCTAACGCTGTGCTACTCTGCTGCTGAGTATGCATGCCCAGTGTGGAACACATCTCACCACACTAAAACACTGGATGTGGCTCTGAATGAGACATGCCGCATTATTACGGGGTGTCTGCGCCCTACACCACTGGAGAAATTACCCTGCTTAGCCAGTATTGCACCACCTGACATCCGCCAGGAAGTAGCAGCCAATAGTGAAAGGACCAAGGCAGTGACATCTCCGGCCCATCCCATGTTTGGGTATCGGCCAGCACGCCAACGACTTAAATCTAGAAATAGTTTTCTAAGATCTACAGAGACACTCGCTGGAACACCTCAGCAAGTGAGAGTCCAAAAGTGGCAGGTTCAAACCCAGCACCTCAACCAATGGCTGATACCAAATGAGAGACTCCCTCCTGGGCACACAGAGGACTGGGCGACTTGGAAGGCGCTGAACAGACTGCGCTCTGGCACCACAAGATGCAGAGCCAACCTTCAGAAATGGGGCCACAAAGTGGAATCCTCGACATGCGAGTGAGGAGAAGAGCAAACCACTGACCACCTGTTGCAATGCAACCTGAGCCCTGCCACATGCACAATGGAGGACCTTTTTGTGGCAACACCAGAGGCACTCCAAGTGGCCAGATACTGGTCAAAGGACATTTAACCAACTACCAAACTCACAAGTTTTGTATTTGTCTGTTTGTTTGCTTTGTTCTATTAGAAATGTAATATAATGGACTGGTTGCTCTGACACGACAAATAAATGTTTTATTGATGTGTTGTCAGTCTTGGCCTCATGTAAGCCACTCCAAGTCCCTTGAGTTGATGGTGGCAGGGTATAAATAAAGTTTTTATTATTATTATTATTAATATTATTATTACTATTATTATTTAATAACCAATCCTTTTCCTTTGGCCTGAGTGCCATACGGAAGGCACTATGGGAGGGCCTAATGTTAATGGGTGGGAGACTGAGAACACAGCAAGCTTAGAAATGTAGTTTGGAAAGGCAAGACCCCCTGTGGCTGAGAATACAAAAGCCCCTCCTTAAACTACATTTCCCAGAATGCAGTGCAAAGAATCACAACCCCCAGTGACCCCACTGTTTAGAGTGTGTGTAATAATAAATGAAATTATTGAATCTGCAAAGAGGACTAAAGTAAGCAAGTAATAGTATAAATCTGTGCTAAGTTGAATTTATGTGCTTGTATGTCATCATAAAGACAGACAGACATTCAAGGGACTTGCTGTTGTCGCATAAATTGTTTTTGTCTAAACTAAAATCCCCCAAAATCTATAGATGTGTGATTTTTTTTCCTGAAACTTCTGGAGATTGATGCCCTGGTTATCTCCTGTCATTGTATATAAAATCCAAGGAGATAGCTCTTGTAGTTTTTTTAAAAAAATGTTGTTTATAGAACTTGGAAAATTCCCCCAAAAAATCCATGCATAAGTGAAACATTCTGAATTTTGGTGGGCTAACAGTGGTAAATGTGTTTCACTCCAAGTTTCACTCCGATAACTTTAAAAACGAGGGAGAAAGGAGCCCCTGAAGTTTCCCCAAATATAATTTAATTATTACTGTAATGAAATTTCGTTATTCTCATTATAGTAATATTTTAGAAACACTTTAGAAATGAAGCACCAGACCCCCCCCCCCCCCCCCCCCCCCCAGTTTTGTAAGGACTTTTGAACCATTTTTGGGGGGTCGCTCATGCCTAGTTGTCCACCCAAACCTTCATGTTTTAGGGACTTTCTGCAAGGAATATCATGTAGGACAAACAACCACATCCTGCTCATTCAAGGAAGAGAGACCCAACCCTCTCCTTTGAACCAACAACCACCAAGATGCACACAGCATAGGAAACTCACAAGGAAAGGGAAACGTAGAACAGATTAACCTACCATCCAAGGGGGACTTCTCTTCTGCATTCTTGTCTTCCTCTGCTAACATCACTTCCTCTGCAAACACAGAAAAAGAAACAGCATTCATACTCTTAGAAAAAAGCATATGCTGACCCAGAACATATTCGATCTGTTGGTGAACACAACACAAAATACTCAGTTGGGAAAGGACTGCGGTAGTATAACAATTGAGTATATGCCTCTTGGATGCAGAAAGTTCTTGATTAAGATTCAAGTTGATAGCAACGGGACTCTACTTGAAAACCCTGTAAAGCTGAGAATATACAAATCACTTGACTCAACAAAACACAGATTCAACAGGCTAAAATCCAGCTGTATGGTGTAAATATCAATTTCTGGAGACACACTGCACCAGCACTAAATAATAGGCTTGTGCAATTTGGCGGTAGCGCAATCCAGTTTTGGTAGCACCGGGATTGTGGCGCAGCTGGCTGAGTGTCAGCTGCATTATGATCACTCTGACCAAAAGGTCATGAGTTCGAAGCCAGCCCGGGTTGGAGTGGGTTTCCAACCAATTGTGTAGCCTGTTGTCGAGCTTTGCAACCCTAAAGACAGTTGCATCTGTCAAATAGGAAAATTAGGTACCACCTCAAAGTGTGGGGAGGCTAAATTAACTGATTTATGAGGCCATAAAGAAGACTCCAGCAAAGCATTCCAGTGGGGAAGCATGCGGGGAATGCGGAAGTGCTTCATCAGCGTTGCAGATGGATGATGAAAGCGACAGCTCCCCTGGCGGACAGAAAAAGTTAAATAGCCTCTGTCTATGTCTGTATATGTTGTAAGTCAAAATTGGCATTGAATGTTTACCATATATGTGTACACTGTAATCCACCCTGAGTTCCCTGTGGGGTGAGAAGGGCGGAATATAAAAGCTGTAAATAAATATAATAATAAATAGCCTAATTTCGTGGGGACCCAGATACATTTTTGTGAGCCTCTCGATGGAAAAATGGAAAAATACGCTAGGCAGCTGAAAAATCTGGGAAGATCCAGCCCAATGGTGGGAATGGGGAACTTCGTGACCGTATCTCTCTCCATGTACCAACCCGGGCATTTCGATCTTTGGGGGAGGTCCTCCTTTCACCCCTACCAATCTCAAAAGCTCATCTTGTGGGCACAAGGGAGAGAGACTTCTCCTCTGTGGCTCCCTGACTCTGGAACCTGGAGAGATCAGGAAAGTCCCTTTACTAGAAACGTTAAAAAAGAACCTTAAAACCTGGCTCTTCCACTGTGCCTTTGGTGAGTAGGTGCACAACATGACACTATTGCTCCCCTCAGTGTTTCTGCCACTGGAGTACACGCCCTCCAAATGGGAAGTTTAGTTCCACACCCTGTGTGTTTTTATGAGCTCCCTGCAAATAACCTGCTCCTWTTTTTATCTCATTAGAGTTTTTAATCATTTTATCCTGTACATGTKGCCCRCCCACTGTTATCGYGAYTGTGTTTAYTGGAATGTTATTTTGTTACTGTGTTTATACTTCTTTACTATGTAATTTTGATGATGTTGCTTGTTGTTTATGTTCTGATTTTATTTTGCTGTAACATGTTGTCTGGGCTTGGCTCCGTGTAAGCTGCTCCGAGTCCCCAYTGGGGAGATGGTGGCGGGGTATAAATAAAGATTATTATTATTATTATTATTATTATTATTATTATTATTATTATTCTTTACGAGGCTCCCCTTTCTGTTCSTGTGATCCTTTCCTATCTTCCTCTCAAGGGAATCTGGGTTTGAAGAATACGGTTAAGGAAGCACCCCTTCGGGACCCTTTTTTATGTTCCCTTCAAGCGAGTATGGGTTTGAGCAACGAGATTAAGGAAGCAGTGTGTAAGACACATCATGCTGTTCTTCTAGTCTGATTGGCCCAACAGGCAGGGCTCACAGGGAAACTCCATGCAACAGCAGCCTCTCTGTGTGCTGCGTGGTACCGAATATTTATTTATTTATTTATTTACTACATATATATACCGCCCCTCTCAGCACGCAGGCGACTCAGGGTGATTTACAGTCAGTATCAGAAACATAAAATACAATGGAAAACAGTTAATCTATATAAATAAAAACGTAATGTTTGTTTGTGGGATTAACATAACTCAAAGACCACTGGTCGAATTGACACGAAATTTAGACACTACACTCCTAACAGACCAAGGAGTGACTATCATTCATAAACCCCTCCCAAACAATAGCGGAAAGGCTTAAACCCCCCCAAAAGCTAATTGACGATACAGCGCATGTGTGAAAATGACAGCTCTCAGCTACCCCTAGACCAGGCCCTTTAGGAGAGGAGGATGCTCCAAATACACTGCTTCCAAACCGCAAGCTTGCTTTTCCTTGGATTTCTTTGAGAGCATACCATATTTCCTATTTCCTATTCCTGGACTGCAGCTCCCAGCAATCCTCCAGAGAGATAAGATACATACATTAGATAGAGATAGATAGTAGGTACAGAGCAATTAGGAGGACTGCTGGGAGTTACAGTCCAAGAATAGGTAGAGAAGGGAGAAAGGAAAGAAAGAAAGGGGAGTGGAAGGAAGGAAGGAAGGATAGAAGGAAAGAAAAAAATGGAAGGAAGGAAAAAGGGAGGGAGGGAAGGAGAGAAAGAAAGAAAGAAAGGAGAGAAAGAGCGAGGGAAGGTTGGCCACAGCAATGCATGGCGGGTACAGCTAGAAATAATAATAATAATAATAATAATAATAATAATAATAATAATAATATTATAATAATAACAAGAAGCAATTGGAAAAGCTTCCATGATATGAAGATTTAAAGATCGAACTGCAAAGACTGGCACAAGCCATTAAAGGAGGTCCCAGTGGTGATCGACACATTGGGGGTGCAGTACCTAAAGACTTTGGCCTGCACTTAAAAACAATCTGCACTGACAAAATTACCAGCTGCCAGCTGCAAAAGGCCACCTTACTTGGATCTGCCCATGGATACATCACACAGTCCAGACACTTGAGAAGTGTCCGAGGTGTGATCAAATACAAAAGCCAGCATAGTGATCTTGTTTAAGTATAAAATCAAGTAAAACAATCAATATCAATAAAAACATATATCAATTTGAGTCTCCTAGTTAAAAGCGTTATCCAATAGCGTCGTTGAGTCGTTCCGTTCCCCCCCCCCCCCCAAGTCTGTTATAACAGGGAAGGTCCTGTTTCTCATCCCCGCCAAACGTACTTGTGATGAAGGCAGGATCGAGAGAAGGGCCTTCCCAGATGATCTTAAAGTCCTGGAGGACTCATAAGGGGAGAAGGAACTGTGATCTGCTGCCATGTGGCCCCGTTAAGGACAAAAAAATGTAACAGCTTAGTCCATACCGTTATGGTCATCCGAACAAGCCAAACAAGCTGGATTGGCCGAAAGAAACCAACCAAACTGAATCCGTGCACGAGCCGACTAAATAATCCCCATGAAGAATGGAAGCACTGTGCAACACAAAGCAGTGACTGGGTGCTGTTATGCAATGCTCAGTACATGATGTACAACCCCAGCGCACAGTCATGAACACAAAGTGCAACATTTTTGCATGCACAACTGTCTGCAAGAAACACATTTATTTATTTGTCGTAATTTTTCATGGCTGGAATCGCTGGATTGTTGTAGGTTTTTCAGGCTATATGGCCATGTTTTAGAAGCATTCTCTCCTGAGGTTTCGCCTGCATCTATGGCAAGCATCCTCAGACTCAAACCATCTGAGGATGCTTGCCATAGATGCAGGTGAAACCTCAGGAGAGAATGCTTCTAAAACATGGCCATATGGCTTGAAAAACCTACAACAACCCATTTACTTATTTGTTTGTTTGTTTGTTTGTTTATTGTATTTGTATTCTGCCTTTTTCAGCCCGTAGGCGACTCGAGGTGGTTAACAGGGCAAAATTCAATGCTTACAATGTCATAAATACAATTAAAACATATTGAATAAAAAAACTTAACAAATCAATACAATATAAATTCATAGTGTCTCCTTGTTAAAAACATTGTCTGGACTCATTATCTAGTCATTACATTTTCCTATGACATTTACTCTGCATTTGCAAACGCTTGTTCAAAAGCCACGTCTTGACTTTTTTCCAGAATGTTAAAAGAGAGGTGGCCAATCTAATATATATAGAGAGGGTGTTCCACAGCCGAGACGCCACCACCGAGAAGTCCCCGTCTCTCGTCTCCACCAAACGTACTTGTGACGAAGGCGGTAATGAGAGCAGGGCCTCCCCAGACGATCTTAAGGCCCTAGATGGTTCATAAGGGAACATGTTGCCTTTGGGTGAATATTTTTTCCCATATGTGAAATGTGACTTAAGTATGCTTGTGTCAATAACAGAAAGCAACCACAAAACAGTAGGCAAGTATCCTTCCCTTTAGAAATCCTATGGGGAATGCTTTTCTTTTTATTGTGGATTTGAATTGCACAACTGCACCAAGATAGCATGTTCCTCCCTCCTCCAACTTCTCTGGTTTCTCAGTTACCGTATACACTCGAGTATAAGCCGACCCGAATGTAAGCCGAGGCACATAATTTTACCACAAAAAACTGGGAAAATGTATTGACTCGAGTATAAGCCGAGGGTGGGAAATGCAGCAGCTACTGGTAAATTTCAAAATAAAAATAGATACCAATAAAATTATATTAATTTAGGCATCAGTAGGTTAAATGTTTTTGAATATTTACATAAAACTGTAATTCAAGATACCTAATTGGAAGAGACCTCAGGGCCATCCAGTCCAACCCCCTGCCAAGAAGCAGGAATATTGCATTCAAATCACCCCTGACAGAAGGCCATCCAGCCTCTGCTTAAAAGCTTCCAAAGAAGGAGCCTCCACCACACTCCGGGGCAGAGAGTTCCACTGCTGAACGGCTCTCACAGTCAGGAAGTTCTTCCTCATGTTCAGATGGAATCTCCTCTCTTGTAGTTTGAAGCCATTGTTCCATTGCGTCCTAGTCTCCAGGGAAGCAGAAAACAAGCTTGCTCCCTCCTCCCTGTGGCTTCCTCTCACATATTTATACATGGCTATCATATCCCCTCTCAGCCTTCTCTTCTTCAGGCTAAACATGCCCAGCTCCTTAAGCCGCTCCTCATAGGGCTTGTTCTCCAGACCCTTTATCATTTTAGTCGCTCTCCTCTGGACACATTCCAGCTTGTCAATATCTCTCTTCAATTGTGGTGCCCAGAATTGGACACAATATTCCAGGTGTGGTCTAACCAAGGCAGAATAGAGGTAGCATTACTTCCCGAGATCTAGACACTATGCTCCTCTTGATGCAGGCCAAAATCCCATTGGCTTTTTTTGCCGCAATTCAAGATAAGACTTCCAACTCTGATTAAACCATTATTCTAACCTTCTTCAATGTAAATATGCTTACATGTCCTTCAATAATAATAAATAGAGTATAATAATAATAAATAAAGTAAAATAATAAATGTAACAATAACAATAATAGAGTAAAATAATAAATGTAATAATAATAATAACAATAACAACAAAGTAAAATAATAAATAACATTGACTCAAGTATAAGCCGGGGGAGACTTTTTCAGCCTCAAAACCTACCTGTCCAAATGTATCTCCCCTTACGAACCACTGAGGACTTTAAGATCATCTGGGGAGGTCCTGCTCTCGGTCCCGCCTTTGTCACACGCACGTTAGCGGGGACGAGAGACAGGGCCTTCTCAGTGGTGGCCCCTCGGCTATGGAATGCCCTCCCCAGGGAGATCAGATCTGCTCCCTCCCTCTTGATGTTTTGGAGGCAAGTTAAAACGTGGCTATTCGAGCAAGCGTTTACAAATACAGAGTAGCTAATATAGGAAATCGAATGACCTGACAATGGAATTGGACAATGCTTGAGAATAATGAGATGCTGATGATGTTGCTTTTATTGCCTTTGTGATGTCTTATACTGTTTAATGGTTTTTATCTATTATGTTTTATGTATATTGATTTGTTGGAAACCGCCTTGAGTTGCCAATTGGCTGAGAAAGGCGGTATACAAATACAGCAAATAAATAAATAAATAAAGGACTGAAAAACTAGGCTTACACTCGAGTATATACAGTAAGTCTTACCCAAATTCAAACCTGAAGTTCTTTTTGTTCTAAATTTGCAAGCCCAACACATCCTACCATGGGTCCTCTATCGAGTCAGTGTTGTGTAGTATTTTGAGTCCTTGATGAGAACTATAGGGACCAGAGTTCAAATCCCACTTCAATACGGAAACTTTGGGCAGACCATACTATCTCAGCCTCAGAGGAAGGCAAAGACCAACCCTTCTCAGAACAAATCTAACCCCTCAAAACCCATTGCAATTTGGCCTTGGCATCACAGCACGTCGGAAACAGTCTGGAGTCACAACAGCTCTTGCAACCTCTAAAGCTACCCGCTTCTCCATGAGTGTAAGACAGATTTGGAGAGGCACTTGTGTTAATTTTTATTTGAGGGAAAAAATATAGTCTGGGAATAAGGAAAGGAAGGGTTAGCAATTGACGCTCCACGAGCCCAGCAATTAGATTTAGGGCAAAGCCAGCAATTAGATGTTAGAGTAGGCGTCTAAACAAGCCTCTCTCTGATTCAAGAGCATCCAGGCTTTGATTGTCTCAGCAGAACCGGAGCATTTTAAAAAAAAGGCTAGGAAATTTACCCAGTGTTGTCCAGTTTGCATCAGCAATCTCACTTGAAATGAAAGTTCATGGGGTTATCCTACTACAGTCCTCGTTTCATGTCATACTCCATGACAAACAGATTCAGCACAAGAAGAGCTCCCTTAATGTCTATTATTATCATCATCATCATCATCATCATCATTATTATCATTATTATCTTCATTCTCAGCCCTTAGGCAACTCAAAACGGTTAAAAATAGCAAAATTCAATGCTCAACATCATAAAAAGAGTTTAAAAACAGTTAAAAACAATGATATAATAAACAATCAGTTAAACATAACTATAACATCTCATTAGCGTCTCATAGGTAGAATCAAGATCCAATCTCATAATCCGTTGTTCCATGTTCCTATATTCAATACACTAGTATTGTCATTCTAGTCCATGTCCTTTAAACTCTACAAACATCTACTGTCCGAAGGTCTGGTCCCAGAACCATCATTTTAATTTCTTTATGAAAGCCAGAAGGGAGCAGATCTTACCTCATTTGGGAGTGTGTTCCATAGGCGAGGGGCCACCGCCGAGAAGGCCCTGTCTCTCGTCCCCACCAGAGGCATTTGCGCAATTGATGGGAGCGAGAGCAGGGACTCCCCAGATGATCTTAGATTACGAGATGGGACGTAGGGGTGGATGCGTTTGGACAAGTAAGCTGGGCCAGAACTGTATAGACTAGAGCTTTATAGGTCAAAACCAGCACTTTGAATTCGGCTCAGAGATGGACTGGCAGCCAGTGGAGGTGGCATAGCAGGGGGGTGGTATGCTCCCTGTATGCCACCTCAGTTCGACTAGCTGAAGTTTCCGAACCGTCTTCAAAGGCAGCCCCACGTAGAGCATATTGCAGTAATTTATTCGGGATGTAATCAGAGCGTGGACGATCATGGCCAGATCAGACTTCCCAAGGTATGGGCGCAGCTGGTGCACGAGTTTTAGACCAGTGTTTCTCAACCTTCCTAATGCAGCAACCCCTTAATACAGTTCCTTGTGTTTTGGTGACCCCCAGTCATAAAACTATTTTCGTTGCTACTTCATAACTGTCATTTTGCTACTGTTATGGATCATAATGTAAATATCTGATATACAGAATGTATTTTATTCACTGGACCAAATTTGGCACCAATACCCAATACACCCAAATTTGAATACTGGTGTGGTTTGAGGACATTGATTTTGTCATTTGGGAGTTGCAGTTGCTGGGATTTATAGTTCACCTAAAATCAAAAAGTATTCTGAACTCCACCAATGATGGAATTGAACCAAACTTGGCACACAGAACTCCCATGACCAAGAGGAAATGCTGCAAGGGTTTGGTGGGCATTGACCTTGAGTTTTAGAGTTGTAGTTCACCTACATCCAGAGAGCACTGCGGACTCAAACCATGATGGACCTGGACTAAATTTGGCACGAATACTCAATATGCCCAAATGTGAACTCTGGTGGAGTTTGGGGGAAATAGACCTTGACATTTGGAAGTTGTAGTAGCTGGGATTTATAGTTCACCTACAATCAAAAGTGCTCTAAACTGGCCCACAACTGCACCAAACTTGGCACACTGCGTACGTGTTGTGTTGAAGGGAGCTGTTTTGGAATTCTGGGAGTTGTAGTTCACCAACACTCAGAGAGCACTCTGTACCAAACTTGTGATGGAACTAGTAAACTTGTCACACAGAACTTGTCTCAGAAACAGCCCTTCACTTGGCTGGACACTCACAATGGAGGAGGGCTTTAGTGGGAGGGTTCACCGTCTGTTTCCAAAAAGGAAGAGAAGGACAGGCAGAGAGATCTTCAGCCTTCTCTGCCAAAGGGGTTCCTAAAACCATCAGAAATATGTGTTTTCTGATGGTCTTTGGTAACCCCTCTGAAACTGCCTCGCGACTCCTCCCCAGGGGTCCTGACTCCCAGGTTGTGAAACGCTGCTTTATAAGTTGCCATTCAAGGAACCTTTAAGGAAAAATCCCAGTGCCGAAAAGAGGAGTTAGACTTTATTTATTCTTTTTCTTTCTGATCCGATGAAACAGAAACCATCTCCTCTTACCTGCCTTAAAGATCCACTCCAAGTAGCCATTGAGCTCCCTTTCAATCTGCTGCTGTCGCCGGAGTTTTAAGAAGGCCCGCCGATTTTCCACTCGTTCTCGTTCTTTGGCAAACTCCCTGCAGAAAAGGGGAGAAAGTGCACATCACAATCCAATTCTGAGCCTAGCTTAGAAACCCGAAAAGAGCCATGCTGGGCCAGGCAGAAGGAGTGAGAACATCTACTTCTGAGGAGTCATAGTCACCAATAAGCTATCTTTGTTTTTGGAAGCTTGTACCTTGCCCCCAATGCTGCTGCTCTGTCTCAGTCCAAAGTTGTGCCCGAGGGAGAGGGAGTGTGCCTCGGCCACTCACCCACTCAGCCAGGCCTCTTTAGACAGGTAAGGCAGCCCTTGCCAATGTGTTTATTTGGCTGTGCAGGCATGCACATCCTGCCCCCTCCGTTGGGTTTCCCAAACTTCAATGCACCCCATTCAAGAAAGCCCTTGCTGTAAATCATTGTCTCATCTGAGGGGGGTGGGCCTACTATTGCAACTCAGAGTAAGCTTCGCCTTGCTTCCAAACATCACCACACAAGAGCTGTAGTTTTATAGTTTATTGAGGAAAATGTCCAAGTCAAAATAAAGAATAAGCATTGCAAAGTTCCAAAGATTTGGGTTAAATGCAGAATATAGTTCCAAAGATCTTCAGAGAGGCACAATCCTATAGGCAAAGTTCGAAACAGAGTCCATGGTACAAACAGTGAAACAATTGCCCCAAGAATCACAATGCAAGAAACCCCAAGCGTGCTGCTTTCCAGCTAAGGTTATTCCATGAAGCTTTCAGGCTAACAAGCTACGTTGAACTGACACTTTCCCTTCGTTTGCAAGAAGCCTAAATACCTTTTGCTAACATGAAAACATTATGCTCTCACCAACATGAAAGCATTGCGATGGCCTTTCCCCGAGCTGACTTCTCATCTGCTGGTTAGGCAAGAACTCCTCCTGACCCGCAAATTAAGATGGGCTTGCCGGGTCAGGTCACTATCAAGGCTTTCTGCACTTTCACTATTAACGTGGGAAGGCAAAGGCCTCTCCACCTGTTCGCTATCTACTTCGTGAACATTCCTTTCTTCTGAGAACCGCTGTGTTGACTCTGCACTGTCTGTGGGAGCCTCAGAAAAAGACCTAGAGGCAGGCCCAGGTATCTGAGGCACAGAAAAAGAGCCAGGAATCTGAATCCCATCATCCTCATCATCAGAGAACATCTCAGGCCCAGAATCACGCTGAACCACAACACCTTCCTCCTTCCATCCCTCCTCCAATGCCACCCCACCCTCAGGAATGCCACTGTATATTTATTATTTACTAGCTGTACCCACCACTCATTGCTGTGGACAACCTTCCCTCCTTTTTTCTCTCCTTTCTCTCCTTCCTTTTCTTCCCTTCCTTCCCCCCTTTTCTTTCCCTTCCTCTTTCTCCCCATTCTTCCTTCTCTACCTATTCTTGGACTGCAACTCCCAGCAGTTCTCCTGATCAATCTTCCTACCTACTTACCTCTCTATCTCTATCTAATCTATCTATCTGGAGGATTGCTGGGAGTTGCAGTCCAGGAATCAGAAATTGGAAACATGCAGAGATTGGGATGCTCTCAAAGAAATCCAAGGAGAAGAAAGCTTGCAGCTTGGAAGCAGTGCATTTGGATCATCCTCCTCTCCTAAAGGACCTGGTCTAGGGGATGATGGGAGCTGTAGTCCAGAAGAGAGTGTGGATATGCTATTGTGTGTTTTGTTAGCCGACGGAGTCATTTTCGCACATGTGCTATAGCATCTCTTTGCTTTTTTGGATTTTAAATCTCTTCTGCTATGTATATTTGTGTATATGTGAATATATGTGTGTTTGTGTATATATGTGGTTTTGCACATGCATTGTAATGCATTTTTGTTTTTTGTCTTTTTAAGTCCCTTCTGCTGTGTTTTTCAGTGTTTTATGAATGATGGTCACTCATTGGCCTGATGGGTGTATTGTGTCCGAATTTAGTGTCAATTTGTCCAGTGATTTTTGAGTTATGTTAATCCAACAAACTAACATTACATTTTTATTTATATAGATTTCATTGGAGCTCCTTTGGTTGCCCTGTGTCTTTCTTTAGGGCCTTTCTGCACACCTGTATACAATCCACATCGAACTGGGTTACATGGCAGTCTAGACTCAGATAACCCAGTTCAAAGCAGACATTGTGGATGATCTGCCTTGATATTCTGGGTTATATTCTGGTCCCAATTCAAGGTGCAGGTTCTTACCTACAAAGCCCTGAATGGTTTGGGACCCACCTACCTGCGTGACTGCATTTCTGTGTATGAACCCACACGATCTCTTTGATCATCTGGAGAGGCCCTGCTCACGCTCCCGCCTCCTTCGTAAGCGCAATTGGTGGGGATGAGGGAGAGGGCCTTCTCGGTGGCGGCCCCTCGACTCTGGAATTCACTCCCTAAGGACATCAATAGGAGCACTAGTGTCTAGATCTAAGGAAGTAATGCTACCCCTCTATTCTGCTTTGGTTAGACCACATCTGGAATATTGTGTCCAATTCTGGGCACCACAATTCAAGAGAGATATTGACAAGCTGGAATGTGTCCAGAGGAGGCGACTAAAATGATCAAGGGTCTGGAGAACAAGCCCTATGAGGAGCGGCTTAAGGAGCTGGGCATGTTTAGCCTGAAGAAGACAAGGCTGAGAGGAGATATGATAGCCATGTATAAATATGTGAGAGGAAGTTACAGGGAGGAGGGAGCAAGCTAGTTTTCTGCTTCCCTGGAGACTATGACGTGGAACAATGGCTTCAAACTACAAGAGAAGGAGATTCCATCTGAACATGAAGAAGAACTTCCTGACTGTGAGAGCCGTTCAGCAGTGGAACTCTCTGCCCCAGAGTGTGGTGGAGGCTCCTTCTTTGGAACTTTTAAACAGAGGCTGGATGGCCATCTGTCAGGGGTGATTTGAATGCAATATTTCTGCTTCTTGGCAGAATGGGGTTGGACTGGATGGCCCATGAGGTCTCTTCCAACTCTGATTCTATGAATTTCAACATGCCCCAACACTGGCAGTCTTTAGGAGGAGCCTGAAAACGTGGTTGTTCCAGTGTGCCTTCCCAGAATAAGGAAAACTCTTAGCAATATGTCCTCAAATGCACTTTAATATTGACTTAGGATTGTCTGTGCACCCTCATCTTTCTCTGAAAACCCTTGCCTTACCTTGTTCATGCCCAGCACTTTTTAATTTTAAATTTGAATTATTACATTTGGCCCGGCCATAGGTTTTTAAATGCTGTATGTTTTGATACTGTTATTGTTTATTGCTTATTGTGTATTTTCAATTTTGAGTTTATTTTAACTGTTTTGTATTGATTATTGTTATTGCTTTTCTTTATTGATGTGCTGTGGGCTTGGCCTCATGTAAGCCGCACACGAGGCCAAGGGGAGATGTTAGCAGGATATTTATTTATTATTTATATGGCTGTAAGGAAAGGCCTTAACTCTACATTGACATATAAACCAGTACAAAGCAGACATTGTGGATGATCTACCTTGATATTCTGGGACGTCTTCATTCCTCACATTCCTATTATTCCAACGGATAGGCTATTTCAATTTAAGAGATTGCAATTCCCAATTCGATTGGCATTTGCAATCACCATCAACAAAGCTCAGGGTCAGTCTTTAGAATTGTGAGGTTCAGATCTAGACACGGATTGCTTCTCGCATGTTCGGCACCGGTACTGTGGTGCAGCTGGCTAGAAGTCAGCTTTGCTTTTTTTTGTCGTGTCAGGAGCAACCTGAAAAACTGCAAGTCACTTCTGGTGTGAGCGAATTGGCTGTCTGCAAGGACGTTGTCCAGGGGACACCCGGATGATTTGATGTTTTTATCATCCTTGTGGGAGGCTTCTCTCATGTCCCCGCATGAGGAGCTGGAGTCGATAGGGGAAGCTCATCCGCCTCTCCCTGGATTCGAACCTGCAACCTATCAGTCTTCAGTCCTGCTGGCACAGGAGTTTAACCCACTGCGCCACCGGGGGCTCCTGGAAGTCAGCTGTATTAAGATCACTACTGACCAAAAGGTCATGAGTTCGAAGCCAGTTCGGGTCGGAGTGAGCTTCCGACCAATTTTTGTAGCTTGCTGTCGACCTTTGCAGCCTGAAAGACAGCTGCATCTGTCAAGTAGGAAATTCAGGTACCGCTTATGAGGGGAGGCGAATTTACGACACCATAAAAATCTCCAGCAAGCATGCAAAGAATGAGGAAGTACTTCATCAGTGTCACAAATGGACGGTGAAGCATCAGCTCCCCTGGTGGCCAGGCTACCCTCATGAAAAAGCTGGAATGTTAAATAGCCTCTGTGTGTGTGTCTGCCTATATATGTTGTGTGTCTATGGCATTGAATGTTTGCCATGCATGTGTACATTGTAATCTGCCCTGAGTCCCCTGTGGAGTGAGAAGGGTGGAATATAAATACTGTAAATAAATAAATAAATAAATAGAGTCAGAAAACCAAACAATCTCGATATCTGAACAGACAACGGAACAACAACAAAATTTAATATATTAGAAACCTGCTTTTTCTCTTTTTTTTTCCCATTCAAACAGACTAACCACAGTAACGCATAGCCGGGGACAGCTAGTTTTCTAATAAAACCTAAAAGGTAAGCTTTCAGCTGGCCAAGGACACTAAAGTTTAGTGTGTTTTATGTACTGAACACATGAAACCCGAAGCAAAACCCATGCTGAACTAACTGGAAACTAACTCTTAAGTCTTTAGGCATGGCCCATAAACTTAATGGTGAAGTTTTATTAGTGAGTTGTTTATTTTGCGATGCCTGCGTTTTACAGTGGAGTTTTTAATCACAATGTTAACACCTTGGAGTGTAAATAGTAGAAATACAAAGTGTGAATAAATTTTACCAGCTATCATGATGAACTCCTGCACTTCAACATTTACTACTATGCAATTATTTCTGTTTGTTCCAGATCGGGGAGGCTCCAGGGTCAGTATGGCAATGAATCCACTCTCTGGGTTGTTGTAGGTTTTTTCGGGCTATATGGCCATGTTCTAGAGGCATTCCTTCCTGATGTTTCGCATGCATCT